AAGATAATATTATAATATAATACTAATTCAATTAAATATAATATAAATTCGAAAATATTATAAAAGAAATTTATGTTATAATTTATAAATATAATATAGACAATCATTTCAATAAAAGTAAATATACATAGTTTCTATAATTTCTGTAATTATAAAACATATATATATTAATATTTATCATTTTTTATATGTTCTATTATTTTTAAATAAATTTTAATAAAAATATAACTTAAATATTAAAATTTATTATTCATAAAAATATTTATATTTATATTAAAATGAAAGTTTAATATATACCATTAGTTTATCTGTCATATTATTTGTTAAATAGTATTATAAGAAAATAAAATTTGATGTTATAACTTGTGAATACATATATGTGATATATATATATATGTAATGTATTAGAATACATATAAATAAGTAAAATAAAATAATTTATTTTAATTTTATATATAATCATTCACAACTCTGCCAATCAGATAAATGTGTATATTAATCAGAGCATATTGCTCCAGCTGTTTACTGCTAATGCTGTATTATGCTACTACTCATCAAAAAGCTATACCAATCAAGGCCTTGGTAAACTAAAAAATCAACCTCAACAATATCCATTTAAAAGATAAAAAATTGTTACCAATTTTCCGAACACTTTGTTTCCGTCTACCGTTTACACAATCCTATGCAGCTTAGCTCAAACATATACAAAAACCAATTGCACTAAAAAAGATCCCATAAATTTTTGATATACTAAGATGGACCCAAGTAATGGAAAACAATGCAACGTTCGTATAGTGAGATGGCCCTAAGTATAGAAAAACAATGCAATCTTTTTTCTTTTGAGTACGGGAAACATTGGAAAAAAAAAAAGAATGAGTTACCATCGATTTAGAAAGCTTGATTGAACACTTGGGTAAATAGCCTACATTTAATATGTAATCTCCAAAATAAAGATACATTAAAAAAAAAGGGTTAATTGGCTAGATAACATAAAAACAAATTATAATTAACTCAATAGCTCAAATTACTGTTCTTGATATATAATATGTATTATAGACCATTTTGCCTTTATAACAATGTAAAAAAAAATATAATTAACTCAATAGCTCACATTTTTCTTTATAGTACATAATGAATTCTATAAATTTTGTTATTTTCAAAAATTTATAATTTTTTGGTTTGGA